TTTTCCCGGCATTGGCAGCTATCCGTATCCATTTGCGGAGCTGGCGGATGAGCGCACACGGACGTGGCCGCTGGTGGAGTCGCCTTGGAATGCAGCCATCCTGCTGGCCTTGTATTTGCTGATGGTGCGCTATGCACCCAAATGGATGGCCAGGTGAGGCAACCGGCCACTGCCCCATTCCTTGTGCGACGTACAATGCCTCATGAAAGCTTGAACACAGGTACAAACCGTTGCAGCTTCGCGGCCCATTGTTCTGCCACAACCTGGCCATGGCCCTGCTTAATGCCCACATATGCCTGGAACTTTTTACGGCGTCGCGAGCCCTCAACTATAGCATCAGCTGTCAGCCGTGTCGGGTGAGCCATAGCCCCCATGAAATGCGTGTAAGTTTTTCTGTGTTGGGTCTCCGACCCGCACAAATGGCATCAAATTGAGTGAATCTCTTGTGGAATGCAGATTGCCGCGGCCTTTTGGTGGTTCTACATCTCGAAAATTCTCGAATTTGCCGACACGGCCTTTTTCATCCTGCGCCAGAAGTGGTCACAGTTGAGCTTCCTGCATGTCTACCATCACAGCACCATGTTTGCCATGTGCTGGATCGTTGTCAAGTGGATACCAACCGGCTCGAGTAAGTCTCACGCCACAAACCTCATCCTCCTCTAGCTATCTGTATCTGTCTGCTTCCACAGCCTTTCTGCCTGCGATGATGAACTCCTTCGTGCACATCATTATGTACGGCTATTACGCGCTGAGTGCGCTGGGACCCCGCATACAGCCGTATCTTTGGTGGAAGCGCCACTTGACTGCCCTACAGCTGGTGCAGTTTGCCATTGGTCTGGCCTGGGGCTCGCAGGCCATTATCCAGAAATGCGAATACCACACCTGGGTCAGTCTCACCGGAGTCGCCTACATGCTGACGTTTCTCTACCTCTTTGGCCGCTTCTATGCCCAAAAGTACAGGGTAGCAGCAGCGACAGCAGCAGTCAAGCAGCTCAAGTGCAAGGAATAAAGTTCTGAGGGCACAGTTTGTATTACAACTTCAATGTGACACTTTCGGTGCTTACAGCATTGTAAATAAAAGTATTATCAATGGGTTTGTATTGTTTGGTAACAATCTTGATGACCTCCTGGGCAGCACAGCCACCTGTAAGGAAGAATTTAAAGGTTATGAGTTAAATGAGTTGCTTCTAGAGTGCTGCGTGCTTTGTGCCCCTCACCAATGAATGCAGAGACGGCATGCAGCTCGGCGCCGCCGTAGCGACTAATCTCATGCAGCACATCATCGCTGATGGTCGCATGTGTGCCCAAATCGCCTAGCATTTTGCCAGCGATCGTCTTTAGGCGTCCAATGTCCTGCTCGGCAGTGCACTCGCCTGGAATGTGGCCGCATTCGCTGAGGAAACGCTCATAGGCGCGCAGGGCGAAGTTGTAGGCGGTAAGATTGTCCTGCACCTCATTTTCCTCCACTGAAAGGACACGAAATTAATCAAATAAAAGCATTAAGCTGAGTTGAATGGAGCAACTCACTCAATGGCAGCAGTCGGCTGTTTCTCTCATACTCCTCGGCAATGCGTGTGCCACGCATAACCGTCAGACCGGCAGCCTCACGGCAAAACAATCGCACGCTGCGCTCGTCAATTGTGTCTGGGGGCAGGGACAGCTGCTTGAGGTAGTCCTGGCATTTGTGGTACACCTGATCGGCATCTTGCAGCGCCTGCTGGCGATAAATGTTCTGCAGGGCAATGTACGAGTCCGTGTTGGCTGTCATGTCGGGCAGTACTCCAGGCAAAGGCAGATTTCCATTGTTATCGTGTATTAAAAAGCTCTTCAGTGCCTTGGCCATGATCCAGAAGATGTTGCTCTGTGTAATGAACGACAGTCAGTTACCTATCTGCAAATATCTACATTAAGATTTACCTTCTTGGTCAGCAGCTCGCAGGCTTCATCCTCGAATATGGCTTTGAGTGCTGACGGCACAGTGCCTGCACCGAATGCTGTGTTGACCGCCTTGATGGCCTCCTCGTGGTTCTCCTCATCTGCCTTCATCTCCTTTCTGATTACTTCACGCAGTTGGTTTTTCTCCTTGTAGTTGTTGGGCGTCTTGTGGCCATCCGGCTGCTCCTTCTGCCAGATTCTGAGGTATTTGTACAGCACCAGCAGCCAGGGCACCTTGCTTGTTACCTCTGTGCTGTTCAGATGCTCTTGCAGTGCGTGGAACGGTTGAGCCAGACGCAAGTCGAACTGAGGATTGTCCGGATGGGCCTCCACAATACAATGTTCCCGAATCTGGAGGCGGATGGTGCCCATCATGCCCAGCGAGCGGCAGTACAGCAGCGGCACGTTCGACTCCCACAGACGGTTCGAAAGCAACAGCAAAGTTTTTTCATTCAGGTTCGAGGCAATGACTAGGTCAAAGCTGTCGAAGAAATTCGGACGATTTTCCAGAAGATAGTCCACACTTTCGTCCACATAATCACCGTTGACATCGGGATTGAGCTCCTGCAGTAGCTGCTTGCATGCCAACGCCTTCGACTTGCCAATGTAGCTGGCATCCAGGAAGAAACTGAAGGAAAAGAAGCATTAGCCCACATTCTGGACAATATATAGCACCCACTTGTTGCCCAAATCCTCTTCCTTGACGGTGCTACCGTCGGCCACCGTAAATCCCCCGATGCCGGGCAGCACAAGCCCCTTAGCTGTTTCACAGCCAACAGCAGTCACGTTCACCAAGCAAACGGTTGCCGCCTCAAGCAGCGTCTGTCCATGCTCGCCCCAAAGCCTGCACAATGCACATTAAATGAGTCTCAGTTTGGTTTGCGTCAATAGTTATACGTTTACCTGATTTGTCTGTCATATTTTTTGCTTTTATCGGACAATTCTGGCGACTTTGGTGCTGGCGAAGACATTTTTGCAGATAAAATACACTGGCAAATATACCAAAATATACCCTTGCATTTTCAAAATATACTGCATATATACCGCAGATGTTAAATTAGTTTCATCGATTTTGATGTTCTATTTGATATTACTAGCTATTTAGGGGTCTCAGTGCTAAAACTATAATTTAATCTAGTTTTTTAATCAATTTTCCACAAGAAATAAACATACCGTTACACTGTAAATATACATTGAACCCATTTTCGTACCCATTTCGAAATGCAAAGTTCGCCGGGTGGCGAATAATTCAGTCTAGTGCTGCTAAACGTGCGCAGACTTGCTGGTGCTATGTTAGTTATAATTCAAAATCTTGCTTAAAACATTTATTAACTATTACGTATTACATTTTATTTAGTTTTAATTGCATTCGACGCTTGATCTTACCAGCTACATACACGAAATCAGTCTTTACAATAAATAATAAGGCTACAAATTCTGAGCGAACGGAAATCTTGGCTGGCTTTGTGTGGGTGTTGTAGGGTTGGGGCGGTATTTGCTGTTTAAATCTGGTGTATTCTGGTGTATTGTTCATAATTTAATTTATTTAACTGTATAATACCGTAAACTTATTGTCCGAGGGGCAATACTGCGACTGCGCATTTTCCAATACTCGCTCAAGAGCAACCATATGTTTTCCGTCTCCTCTTTGGTAACATTATTCGCGCTGTAATTTCACAACAACACGCTCCGTTGATTGTTGGAGCTACATTGTCCAGGCCCCAGCAGCTTGCACACGGAATTGAACTAAATACAAATTAAAATAATTACGGAGAGTATGCCAGCCAGAAGGAGAACTGCGGCGGCGGCAGCGTCGAGCAGCAAAGACGGAGAATCGCCGATGAGTCCGCAATCCGATGATCCCGCATACCAAATGAAAAGAAAAAAGAACAATGAGGTAAGTGGGATGTAAAGATACGAGTGACCTGCTTGAGGAAGCACACATGTTGCTAGCCTAGATGACCACTCCAAAAATAGCCACACTATAATCTATTGATTTATCTTGTTTTGTTTCTGTAGGCAGTGCAGCGCACACGAGAAAAGACAAAGAAGTCGGCTGAGGAACGCAAGGAGCGCATCGAGAAGTTGAAACGGGAGAACGAGCAGCTCAAGGTGAAGATTAAGTCGGGAAAGAAGCACATAGCCACGCTGCGCGAGCTGATCATACAGGGCGAGAAGACGGAGGATCATCATCGCATCATACAGGAGATTTTGGGCGCCCCAGACTCTGGCGACGACGACGAGGATGACGACGATGATCCCAGCAGTTAGATTGTAGCAGCATGACCAACGAACAATTGCTTTTAATTTACTTTATACTATTCACCTACTTCTAAGCATCTTGACCTGTGTCTGTGTGTGTGTACTAACCGTCATAGACGTCCAGCTTTTCCATGTGCAGGCTGAAGACTTCGTCCATTTTCGTTATCGCGATTTAGTCGCAAAATAAATCCCCGTAAAATGTAGAAATTTTGTGTTTCCAGTGGCTAGGCGTTTTCTACCGTTAGAGCGCTAGTGCCGTTAAGTTTTGCTCTCTTTGTTGCTATCGCTGCTTCCGTTTTTCCAGTTCTGCTGCTGTTGCTTCCGCCTGTTCCATTGATTTATTGCACTTTTATTTTTAACATTGCTCCAACTGTTGACTGCGTGACGGATTTTCTTTTGATAGTTTGAAATGGGGAGTTTTTTGCTTGTAATTAATTGAATTGAAGTCTTCCGCCAATTAGCACACCCGCACGGATCGGATCGGATTGGTACGATTCTGATGGAAGTTTTTTGAGGCTGAAGCGTACAAACGTCACATGGCAGGCAGTCGAAACTGAATTGAACGACAGCTAGAACAGAGCCAGCGGGGCTGTTGAGCGTTTGGGGATACTGTCGCTTATGGTAGGGCCACGGCTAAACGCTTATTTCCTTATTTTTTATTTATAATTTCACGTAACTTATTTTAGTTGTTTTGGTCTCTCTCTCTCTCTCTCTCTCTTGGTGTAAGTCCGCTCTCTCTGCTAGTGTTGAACAACGCCGCTGGTGACAGCTGATCAGGGCTGCATCATTTTTTGTCTGTACAAAATATTTTAAAATTACAATAGCCAAGATTCACCTCTCACAATTCCTTTTAAAGAATGTCACAAAACTAAACAAATTCAAGTAATAATGCTGCTACCCTTAAAGACTTTTGAGCCCGAGCAACCCGCCAGTTTCAACACTTACACGCTGAAGCGCCAGATAGCGAAGCATGGAACGAAAACACAAGAGATGCTGTTTCAAGCGTTCCGATTCAATTTGCAGGATGAGAGAAATGCGCACGATGTCGAAGTCCATCTCGAGTCCAAGCGCCGATATTCGCAGCCAACCCACTGACTCGGGCAACTCCATGCCAGCCGCCGGCAAAGCCTCGTCCAGCTCCGTTTCCCAGATGACCAAAAGTGGCCCCAAGAAACGCTTCTTGTCGTTTCTCTGGCGGGGCAAGGAGTCCAAGGAGCTGCGCAAGCAGCGCATGTCCCTTAAGCAGGCCAAAGCTAGGGGCCTTAAGCCCGATCTCATCATACCACTGAAGGAGCAGGATATTCGCAAGCTCATCCGACTCTACTGCAAGCACGACAATCTGTACAATCCGAAGAACTCGTACTACGGCAACAAGGAGATCGACGAGGACTGCTACATCGACATGACACGCTCCTTTCCCGGCCACACCAGCGACGAGCTGCGCGGCTACCTGGAGGAGCTGAAGAACCTCTTCGAGCGGGAGTACACCATCATCGAGAGCGCCTGCCGCAACTACGGCGAGATCATGACCCCGTCCATCCAGTACTACAACGAGTTCCTCTTTCTGGTGCCCTATTTGTGCATCAACTTTGACAAGAATCGGCCACGCAGCTCCAGCGACCCGGCGCTGGCCAAGCACTCCAGATCCGCCTCCAGCACGATGTCGCAGAAGAAACCCTCCACGACGGAGTTGAAGAATACGCTGGCCACCAACGAGATGCTGCGCAACAAGCTGGCCAATCTGGCGGCCTGTGGCATCTCCCCTTGTGCATGCTTTGGCAAGAGTAGGAAGCGAGACCCCGAAGAGAAACCCAGCGCAAACGAAATCAAGAAGGAGAAGAAGCCAAAGGAGCAGCAGGAGGAAAGTAAAGAAAATAATGAGCCGCTTGCTCATGAGGCGGAGTCGCAGGTGGATGCGGATGGGCATATTACCTTCTCTCCCTCCGCACACAAACGGAAGGCACCGAGCCAGTCCCAGAAGGTGCCCGAATCCAGACTGTCCATTGAATCTTCATTCTACTCCACCGAAAAGGAAAAGGAGGTGACAGACCTGGGTCGAAACTCGCACACAGTCGAAAGGGCCCCGCCAGAGGAAGAATTCCGGCAGGAGCGGAGACCTAGTGGCCCAGGGATTTGTCCACGTGAACTGCCATGCCCTGCGGCTGCACCTGTGGCCCAGAAGATGAGCCCATCCGCTGCTGAGATGCCGGGTGGGAATGCCCAACAGGTACAGATGCTCTGCGACATGATTCGAACAGAACTGACCTCAGCGCCGGACTTTATTTACTTCGATGCCAAGTGGCGGATCATCGAGATACTGCGTGAGGTGCATAAACGCCAGCTGGTCCACCTGAAGGGCACTCCGATCTGCAATGGGCAACGCTGTCCGCCTGCACCGCCACTCAAGAAGTTTCCGCCCAGCCAGAATTCCTCGCGAAGAGGTTTGCCGGTGCCGGGACAAAAGGTCGGAGCAGCACGCGCCTGCGACTGTCAGTTCTGCCGTCGGCCCACGAACTGAATCGAGCAAATCCATCTCACTCGGCGCTATCAGCAAGAACCCTGACCCACTTACGGCAGATAAGCGTCTGGCTGGGCAGCTTCCTTGTTTTCTCCCAAGCGAGCGAGCGGCAGATACAAAATCGCTCGAGATGGAAGTGGAGGCATTTCTGAACAGTTCCAAGCTGCTGCAGCACTGGCCAAGCTGCCTGGTTGGTGTGCTCCTCGTTTTATTCATTAAATACATCGTCCGCAAGCGCAAGGATAGCTCCAAGCAAGATGTAACTGTCAGGGATGAGGATATAGCAAGTATATTGATAGTAACTAAGTCATTGTTTGGTCATTCTTCATTTAATTTCCTTGCAGCCGAGTTCGAAGAGGTAGCTGACGGCGACCTGCAGCCCGCTCTGGAGGAGAAGCCGCATGTGCAGTTCGTTCCTGGCCAGACCCTCAATCCCAATGGCGCCCAGCGCTTCTATGAGCTGGTGTGTGGACGGCGTAGCATCCGCTCGTTCAGTGCCTTGCCGAAGCCCAGCCTCAGCGTCATTGAGGAGTGCATAAGGGCGGCAGGAACTGCTCCGAGTGGAGCGCACACAGAGCCCTGGACGTTTTGTGTCGTGGAGGAGGCCAGAGTCAAGCAATCCGTGCGCTGGATTGTGGAGCACGAGGAGCAGATCAATTACAACAAGCGCATGCATCCCCAGTGGGTCACGGATTTGCGACCGCTCCAAACAAGCCATGTGAAGCCGTATCTCATGGATGCGCCCTATCTGATCCTGATTTTTAAGCAGACCTACGGCACCACCAAGGAGGGACGAAGGAAAACCCACTATTACAATGAAATCTCCACGTCCATTTCTGCCGGAATCCTGCTGTGCGCCCTGCAGGCAGCGGGTCTATCATCGCTGGTCACAACTCCCCTGAACTGTGGCCCTGCTTTGAGGGAGCTGCTCCAGCGACCGGAGAACGAGAAACTGCTGATTCTCCTGGCTGTGGGCTATCCGTCGGACGACTGCAAGGTGCCCGACTTGGAGCGCAAACGTCTGGACGAGATCATGGTTAAATATTAACATTTACATTCCAAATAAATTACTAAATGTGCTTTGGTTTGTTTTCTCTAAATCAGGGCTGCAAAATCCTATCGATAGCACAATCGATACATCCGATGTTTCTGAACCCTGTCAGTGTTGAACAAATATTTGGCAGTTTGTGGTTTTCCCACACTCGTATGACACAAACGCAAAAGAAAAATTTCATCGGTCGCGCCGTGGTCTGAGAAAAAAATTAGTGGAATATTCCACTAAATAATTGCAGTTTGTGCGCCACTAGTGGATAATAAAGTGGCTGAAAAGCACACTAATCCGTGGATTGATTGTGTTCTGTGGCAGCACTCAAGGTGGCTGTAGCTAATAAGTGTCCCACGAATGAGAGCGTAAAGCAGATGGCGGAGAGCGTCCCGCGCGTCAGTGTGTGTGTGTGCGCGTGAATGAGAAGTAGAAAGCGGCGGTAAAAACCTTGTTCGCGTGTAAAAACCTACACATATAAAACGAGATATTTAATAAATAATTATTTCGTTGGTGCATCTCGAGTAAAAAAACAGTGAAACATATCCTTGAGCGTCCAACGCCAGCAGCGCAGCAAGCGATCGGAGATAGCAGACGAAAACAAAACGCGTCCCCTGGAACCGCCGATACCGAGGAATGCCAGCGTGTGAGTGTGAAAAGTAAAATGTGGGAATTGAAGAGGAGGTGGAGGCGAAAACTGTAGCGTAACGCACTCAGCTAAAGATGGTGATAATAGCAAACGCAGCATTAAATTGTTGAATAATATTTAAGCCCATACCAGTGCTGCAAAAATCACCCTGCAATATCATCAGTGTTGCGAATTGCCCAGCCCCACGCATAATCCAAACTCGCCCTCCCAGCCTCACAGTTCCATCAAGTGTCTTCTCCTGTCCCGTCCGTCGTAAAATATTATTTTAGGTTCTTATTGTTCGCGTGGTGAGAGAGTGTGGGGGGCGCCCTCTTTCGTTAAACTAACATTAACTCTGTATCCTATTGAAACTATTGAGCAGAGAGCGGCATAACTTTGCTGAAACTGTACCATATTGTGGGTAGCGGAAGGGGAATGGTCATGGGCAGGGGCACGGCATGGCATGGCATGTGGGGGCCTACGGTGGGCACCACTTAAATGCGACGAAAATAGATTCCATGACAATGTCGACTGTGAGCCAAAGATTATAAAACTAATTATATTTCCATTGTTTATTTTCTCTCATCTTGCAGACCAACAATGCGACATGATAGTCAGCAAACAGACCTTTTAAGTTGTTGTCACTGTTAGAATTGTTGAATTGTTTACAACTTGTTGCCTACGTAAGGGATACGTAGAGAAAAGCATCAAGTAGAAGCAACGAATCAGCATCCCTATCAGATCCCAGTCAAGCCACATAAATGAGTAGTCGCCCGCAGAAGCAGCCGACCGAGATGGTGGGCAACTTAAAGCCCAGCGGCCGAGAGTCGCGCCGCAAGGCTGCAGTGGTGGCGGCGGCGTTGATTACTGCCTCAGAAGATGCCAATGAGGAGCATCGCACTAATGGGCATGCCACAAATGTTGGTGGCAAGCGCAGGCGGGCCAGCAAGTCTGGCAAGTCGCCCGTCCTGACCAACGGCGACAGCAAGAGGCCCAAGCTGAAGCAACAGAATCCAGAGAGCGCGACCACCACGAGGACCAACAACAAAAGGTACATTGCCTGTAGCAATAACAACAACAACAACAATAACAACAGCAAAAACATTAATGTGACCAATGGTCAGCAACACAACAACAACAAGAAGGCCACCAACGCCAATAACACCCCATCGCCATCGCCCCCAAAAGCAGTAGCAGCGACGGCGACGGCAGCAGCAACAGCGAAAAAGCAAGAAGACTACAATTACCGTGACACCATGTCGCCACCCACACCGCCCTCGCCTCCATCACCCCCAATCAATGTGGCTGAGGTGGTGTGCATTTCCGATGGAGAGAGCGAGGAGAACGAACCGGCTGATTACTTTGACAGGGATACGGAGGAGGAGGACGACGAAGAGGAGCCTGAATTGGTGGAAGTGGAGGAGGAGGAGGTGGTTCTGGTGAACGACACAGCCTCCACCCCCACGACAAAACTGCAGCTAAAGAACATTAATCCTAAGAACATAGCTGCAGCCGCGGCAGCAGCAGCGGCGGCAGCAGAAGCGGCAGCCGTAGCCGCGGCAGCTGCAGCAGCAGCCGCATCACCCAACTTAGGCATCCCCACCAGCAACAGCACGCCGCTGGATCTTAACAACGAGGCGCATCAGAAGGACCTGGAAGCCGTGACAGATCTACGTTCCTACGGTGAGTCAGGGGGAAAATTCCAATCAAGTTTCATTCCAACATCCAGTTTCCCCATCTCTGGGTAACTACAGTCAAGCTTGCCAAAGATGAGCACGTTGAAATCTCAGTAAATTGAACTCTGAAAAAAGACCAAAGCAGTTATCAGATGGAAGAAATAATACACATTTCCGGGAAACATTTCCGTCTAATGAATATTTTTGGCAAGGTCAACCTATGGTACTTCTACTGTATTCTCATATTTCAGTCATCGGAGCACAACAAATGGTTAGTTAGTCAAAGAAGAGCGGGGTGGGTGGCTGTGCTTCCGTTGCAACTTGGTCAATGCCGAGCGGCATTTGGTATCCTTTTGAAAGTGGAGCACATGCATTTAACCTTGACACAATTACCCACTAACCGTCGACCCTGTGCGTATAGTTCCGCCCCCCAGGCTGCCTGCCTTCGGGAGCGGTGCATGTGAATGCCATATTGGGTGTTGGGTGTGGATTCCACTGACCGAAAGTTCTCCCGCCAGTTTTCGCATCTATTCACGTCTCCACAACAACATTAACAGGCAGGGGGCATGCAGACGACAGACGACGACACATTCGGATGGCACAGTGGAATCGGTTGATGCCCATTTATCAATGAAATGTATCCGGCTTACAAATTCATTATTCATTACCAGCTGTTCTTCTCACCAATTTCTATCGTAGCATGTGCCGCTAGTTTTTGGAAGCTCGAATTTCTCAGCGATTGAGAAAACGAAAGTTTCCAACCCACTGTCTTTCGCTTTTCGACATCGACGTGCCAAGGTGTATTTATTTAGGGGTAAGGGAACCTCTCCCATGCAATAGTACAGAACAGTCGTTAAAAGCATAAAGAGCGCAACAGATGGAGTGCATTTTTGGTAATGCCTCACCCTAAATTCATACATACGCCGTGTATGTATGAATGTGTGTGTGTCCATGCTTGTTTGCATAAACGTGCGATTGGAAATGGTTAGCAGGGAATGGGTGCAGTGCAGTAGTAGACAATTTATTTACTTGAACTTGACAATGCAACTCCTCGAACATTAGCTATAGGAACCCGTTAGCCTCTGTAGATAATTGCCTTTAATCGCTATTTGAGTTGTTTAATGATTAAACATTCCAGTTAAATGCTTATCTTTACTCCTCCTCTTTACCCATTTCGTTCTCTCTTCACACCCCTACGTGATCTGATCGTCAGAGAATGCTCTCGCCGTCTGCCTCTCAGTGCTGCTCTGTACAGCACCGCACCCGTTCTGTTAACATACAGCTGTATACCAGAAGTGCACTATGTACAGAATTTTGGACAAACATTTGCTTCCTATAAGATGGGAGGGGGTGAGGATAACAAAACCAGATGATGGCAACCGAACGGACATTCCTACTTGTTGCTCGATTGTCGTCATTGTCTTTTCTTTTTTCGGTTTTGCGTTCATTAAACTTTGCACAGAACACGATGAGAGAAACACATTCTGTGCGGTTATACAGTTTAAGAACCTGCTATATTTATATTGCATATCAAGGCCAGTTGCTGTTAAGCATTGCGGTTTCTAGATAGACGCCTTAAAAAATTATTTGTATAATTCGTTAAATGAGTGTTCCCTAATTGTAGATTTTAATTGTTTGAAATAAAGTAGAGTTTCAAAGTATTGATAGCAGACGCTCTGCAGAAAATTCGGTGAATCCATATCCCACCCCTGAAACCATTTTGACAATGAACATTTATAAATAAGTATTTATATTAGCCACAGCAAGAGGTGTCTGGTACCAGAACTGCCGCATATTGTGTATATAATGGTTCAACTTCTTGCCTCTGCTTGTGGGAGTCCCTCAAGTTTCCCCCTTTGTGGATGCCATCTCATATTTTGACACTTGTTTTTCTCCAGTTCTTGTTGAATCAATAATTCAATTGAATGAGTTGCTTACCACAATTCACCCTTCCACTCAGGCTCTCGGGTGTTTTTAGGTTATTGTACCCTAAAGACATTCAGTGTGTTTTGCCTGTGTTTCGTGTAAATTACCTTTACTCGTTGTTAGCAACTTGTATTTTCAAATAAAACAACAGGTTTGTTCCAACGCAAGGCGGTTTCATTAACCTCTTACGAAGTTTGTGTCAATGCGCCCCAAATTTCACAACAATTCGACATTTTGGTAGTACATTTGTTATACAAGGGTTGAATGGACACGAGCGAAAGCGTCGTTGGAACTATCCAATGATTCAAACGGATGACACTCCCGTTGAGAAGAGGCATTCTCTTAAAGGTCAAGTAGGTTCAAGGACAAGTTAGCACATTAGTGTTAGTTAGAAGAGTGGGAGGTGTCCATGTAGGCCTGTAGGAGCAGGCCTGTGCCTATGTGCATAAAGTACTCTTGGCGAAATTTTATGAAATAAGCTGGATTAGGCATGTGTCTGGGCCACGAAATAATCGTAAATTCTACCCATTTTGGCGAGACGACGGACAGGCCAACGAACCGTTGTTGCCTCTGCCTATACAAATATGTATGGCTGTTTGGATATATTGAACGTGTATGGACAGGGAGAATATTAAGAGAGAGCATTCGAAAGGCGAGAGCGGTGGTGAACATATTTGCTTGGCATTGGGGGTTCGGTTGTTTCGCAGGCTTTGATCGTCTTTCATTTAATATCTCCCCCCAACCCCTTTTGTTTTAGAATAGATTCCCATGTAAACATAGAACTCCAGGAAATGCCTTATTTTGATA